TTAATAATTAATTAAAAACAAAATATTAATATTAATACTAACTAATTTAATGAGAAGTTTTAAAAAAAGTATATAATATATTATAACGATAAATTAAACGATCAGCAAACTCAAATTTTATTATATCTTGTATTACTAAATTAATTGCATGAGCAATATATCGAATACTAAAAATATATGGATATAATAAACTAATTTATTATGTGCAAGTTTAACATTAGCATCATTATCACTAATAATTGATTAGGTACAACTGCTTCTAAAATACTTAATATTTGATCTGTGATAAATTTTTCTGTATGTGATTCATCAGAAAAATCACATAATTAATATAAATATTCTTTGCGTTTAGGTATTATAATAATAAATTTCTAATAATAATGATTTTTTCTACTACTTCAACCATCTAAAACTAAAATATTAAATAATTATTATTAAAAATTAATTAAAAAATTAAATATATTCAATATTTAAATCTAAAATTACATACCAAGTATTAAATTTTTTGTTAATTAAGAATATGATTAACTTTATTATTTATTTTTGCTAATTATTGTTCAAATATATAATTAAAAAAAAGTTCATGATTTGGTAGCTTATATGAAGAATTCATTTTTTTTAAAGCTTCAATAAAAAAAGGATTTTTAATAACACGTTAAAGGAATTCTACAAATTGTAAATGTTTTAGCTCATGCTTAATTAATTTTTTCACTTTTTCCTATTTCTAAAGAACTGCCTGCAAAGTTATCTAATAATTTTTGACTTAAAGAATTTGAGAATTTTCTTTATTATTTTTGTTATTGAATCTATCCTTATCAGTATTACATAAAAATACTTTAATGAGATATTTACGAATAACTTCATTTGGTGTTATAGAATAATAATTAGTCAAATGATTTTCTAATCCACAAGTTTCTTCACGCTTCCAATTTTTGTTACAATAAATACACTTTGCTTTGTATTTGCCTTTTACTTTTTCATTAACACATGTAAAATAATTTCATACTAATTCTAATAATCTTCCTCCAACATTTTTGTAAAACATAAAATTTTATTTTTATAAAAAAATTATTCAAAATTTAACAATGACAAACAATAAAAAAGAGATAATTAATGTTTAATGATTATCAAATAAATTTATATAAAATGTTATCATGTTAAATATTTTTTTATTTATTTACTATAAATATATGTAAAAGGTTGATTACTCTTTTATTTACTTACTATATAAAAAAATACAATTATAATAAATAAAATTTTATTTTTCAATTTTGAAACCAGAATTCTAGATTGAATAATCAAAGATAAGTATAATGTATTTTATTATTTAAAAAAAAATAATAATAATATTTTACTTACCACTTTTTGTGGATACCAAAAGTTCATTTCAGAATCCTGAAATAAATCAAAAGTTAATATTTTAATTATTTTTTCTAAATAATTAAATTAAAAAAATTTTTTAATATTTCTTTATAGATTGTTGAAGTCTGAATCCTAGAATTCTAGATTAAATAAATCAGAGGTAAGTATTATTTTTAAAAATATTAAAAAAAGATTAATAATTTTGCTTACCTCTTTTTGTAGATGCCGAAAGTCTACTTTAAAATTCTAGAATAAATTAAAGGTTAGTATTTTATTTTTTTTTAAATAATTAAATTGACAAAACTAATTCTTATACTTATCTCTTTTGTAGGTTGCTAAAGCCTTCTGGATTCTAGAATTCCAAATAAATGAAATGAAGATAAGTAAGTATTGTGTTTAAAAATATTAAAAAAAACTAATAATCAATCTTACCTCTTTTTGTAGATGTTTGAAAAACCCACTCTGAAATCCTATAATAAATCAAGGATTAGTATTTTATTTTATTTTTTTTTAAAATAATTAAATTAAAAAAAAATACTTCTTTATAGGTTACCAAAGCTTTTGAAACCCTAGAATTCTGATTGTATGAGAATCAGGATAAGTAATATTATTTTCTTTTTAAAATATTATAAAAAATTAATCTTTTATTTACATCTCTTTTTGTAGTTGATAAAGGTTTTTTAAGTAATTTTTCATCTATATAAAAGTTAAGTAAAATAAAGATTTTGCTTTTTTTTTACAAAAAACAACAAATTTTCTAAAAAAAAATTATTTGAAATGATAAATACAATAACTGATTATGATTAGTTCGAAGTTTTGACAAAATTACTTTAAAAAAATTAAAATTTTACTTTCTAAGCTAATTATGTTTTTTTTTGTAAAATAAGTCCAGATTTAACATTAACTCAAAAAAAAATTTTTTTAGAGTTTTCTCCCTTTCTATTGTAAAACTCCCAAATATTTGAATTCAAATTGCTTAATATTTGATTCAATTTGATTTTGAGAAACCCTAGTTATGATATACTATGATTAAATTTTTAATAGTTTATATCACAATTAGTTCACTAATGTTAGAAGTCATTTTTTTCTTTCATAGATGCTTTTCTTAACATAGGTTCTCAATTGGATTGAAGTTTAAATTTTAAGTTATTTAAAAAAGTTTACGTAAGCTATTTTTTATGTGAATTTTCTTTGTAATATTCAATATGTATGGATGAACATTATCCTTCTAAACTAACTATCATTATTTAACAATAAATGTCTCATGATTTGATAATATATTTTTGAAAGATAATAATATATGAATACTGGTTGCTATTTCAAATAATAGAACAAGATTCTACACTTTGTCTTGAAAAGCATTTTTAAAATATTTGACTTGGACTATGCTTTACTATTAGAAAAATACAAAAAATATTATATTCTTCACTAGATTTCACCAAACTCTACTATACTGAGATTATTAAAATTAAAAAAAGTTGACTTATTACTCTACAAAACTTTTGACTAATCGTCTTTTGTTCAGCTTTAATGTTTTAAATATTATATAAGATGTACTTTCATATTTGCTGATAAGATTAAAGGCTTGTATTGAGTAATACAATTATTTAATCTAACTGCATGAAATACACAGCTAATAATGTGAGTTAAAATATCTTAACTGGTCTTTTTATTCCAGAATTATTAAATTTCTGAAGTATATAAATAATGGTTCTTTCCATTATTATTGGTTATAAATTTCTTAAGCCAGTTTTTTGTTATAAAAATCCAAGAAGGGATAGTCAATCAGAGCGAAGCCTTAAATAAGTTATTCCAGTATCATCCATTCTTTTCAAAGTATCAAATATTATTGATATACTACATTTATCTATTGTAGTAATAGTTTAATAACTATCACTATATTAACAGCAAAATAAATATAATGCTGCTTTATTCTGCAGTTAATTTTTAAACATTTTCTTAAGTATTTTTGGGAATAAAATTTATTTTGATTCAAAATCAAAATAAACAAACTGAACATGTTTTTATTAGGTTTGATTTATATAAACAAGGTCTGAAACATTATATGATTGTAGTATTATTAAATCACATAATATTAATGACATTAAATTACAACTAAAAAATAGTGTTCAGAGACTTTTAACGGTCCTTTATATATGATAAATTAGACATATATGATATATTAATTTTATTTTTCTATATAATGTATTTTATATCAATAAGTAATTTTTTAAATCATGATAAATCAGTTTCTAGTAGTTTTAAGAGGCAAACAGACTTATTGTATTATACTTTAGTTTAATGATTCATTTCTTATTATTTCTTTTATTTTCTTTTATCTTTTATCTTCTTAATTCGCAAATAAATATATTATTTTAAAATATAATTACTTGATAAACTTATGAATTGTTATTTATAAAATACTTATATAAACATCTTTTTGAAAATTAGTTGTAAAGTAAACTTATAAAGTGTTAATATTGTTACACAATTAAAAAGAATTAATACTCAGACATCTTATCTAACAGTTATAATTCATAAAAATTACATGTTAACATTATACAATTTTATAATTTGTATAATTTATATAATTTATATCAATTTATTTAATAAAATTAAATTAATTAAATAAAAAAAAAAATAAAAGATTTTTTTATAAAATAATTTCTAATAAAATTAAGAATAATATTAAATAAACTTTTAAATTATTATTTATATTTATTATATGTTTTGAAATTTAAACTTCTTATAAAAATAAAAATTCATATTGATAAGACTAAAAAAAATTTTGTTTTAGTTTTAAACCTTATTAATTAAATATAATAAGTAGAAAATATAAAAACAAAAAAAATATTTTTTTTTTTGTTATTTTTATTATTAATATATTTCTTTAATATAAAACAAATAGCAGATAAATGGAATATTAGCTGAAATTTGACTTATAGTATAAGTTTAACCTGCTAGTCAATTTTGTTAAGCTTCAAGTAGATAATCTAACAAAAGATTCAAGAAGTGTTAAAGATCTGTTTTTTTTGAAAAGAAATTGCTATGTATTTATTTTTACAAATCAATTAATCTGTATTTTTAAGCTAACTTCTTACTTTCTAAAGGCAGTATATATATAAATAATTCTGTTTTTTATTTTTATTATATGATTCATTTAATCATTTTCATATAATAATTACAATTATGATTAATGTATTAAACAAAAAATGTATTAATATTTATATAATAAATAAAGTTTTTATACTATTTAAAATGTTTATAATATAATTAGTATTTTGAGTTTTTTAATTAATTTTAAATAAATCATGTATAAAACCAAAATATTTATATTATTATTATCATTATGCAATTGAACAAGTTTAAAACAAAGGTTTAAATATAATTTCATATATTTAAAACCTTATCTAAAAATATTTAAAATTAAAAAATATATTAAAAACCTATCACTGATTTATATGCTTAAAAATAAATTAATACTATTCCAAAAATCTTCAAAATTTTTAGTACAGTTATTTTATTAGGAAATGTAGAATTATTGGATTAGGTTATCTATCACCCTATCATATTAGTGTAACCCTGGCCTGGTAAAAAAAAAAATTCTTTTGACCATTTTCTTTTTTTTTTTTTTAACAATGTCAACAAACTTATTTGAAGTTCCTGGCTGGAAATTAGGAAAAGTAGTGCCTCAAAAAGAACAACGTAATAAAAAACGAAAAATAACACAAGAACAAGAATTAGTTATAAAAAAAAAGAAGTTAAATAATGGAAATAACAAGGAATGTAAAATAAATAATGCAAATCATGCAAATCAAAAAGAAAAATTTGATCAAATCAAAGCTAAAAAGGACCAAATCAATAAAAAGAATAAAAAAACTAAAAGTGTAGATAAGAATGAAGAACCAAAACAGCCTGATAAGGATAATTCACGGAAAAGCAATGATTTGAAAAATTATGCAGCCAAACGTCAAAAGAAAGAACAAGTTGGGCAAAAGAAAAAGCAAGTCAAGTTAACGAAATCAGGACAAAAGGTAAAAAAAAAAAAAATTTAATTGGAATTTCTTTGATTTAACTATTCTTGACCAATTATAATTTATTTTTCTTAGAACACAGAAAATCCGTTTGCGGATGCTGATAATTTCGATTTATCTGAAGAAGGTACTGGAAAAATAATACCACAACCAGAAAAACCAAAGAATAAGAAACAAAAGGGAAATTTAGACAAAATGAAAAAGAAATTATCTGAGGGTAAATTCCGTTGGATAAATGAACAATTATATACGACAACTGGATCAAAGGCTTTAGAAATGTTTCAGAAAGATCCTCACTTATTTGATGAGGTTTAATATATAAATTTTTATTATGATTTTATAAATTTTATGCAAATTACGAATGATTCATTGAAGAATTGACTTTTATTGATAGTATCATGACGGATTTCGTTCAGCAGTTGAATCATGGCCCGATAATCCTGTTGATATATTATTGTCGTATCTGAAACAAAAATCCAAAGAAATAGTTGTTGCAGATTTGGGTTGTGGCGAAGGTAAGATAGGATTGGAAGCACCAAATAAAGTGCTTTCATTCGATCTGATCGCCAAACACGACAAAGTTATTGCGTGTGATATTGCAAAGGTATGAATTAAATTTTAGGCATTTATAATCTCTTTATTAATCAAATCACGTTTATTTTTTAGTTGCCAATTCCGGACAGCTTCTTTGATGTCGTGATATTTTGTTTATCTCTTATGGGAACTAATTATGTTGATTTTCTCAAGGAAGCATATCGTGTATTGAAACCAAGGTATGTATGTCTCTGAATCCATGCTTATTCAAATTTGGATATATAGATTATTCTAAGGTTTGCAATTCAATTTATGAAATAGCGGAGAATTAAAAATTGCTGAGGTGGTAAGTCGGTTTTCTGATATTAATTCGTTTATCGAAGTTCTCGCCGAGTTGGGATTTAAATTAATAAAGAAGGTAAGAAAAATAAACGATTTAAACAGATGATTTTACGATCAAAAGGCTTAATTTTTGTTCCTTTTACTTCTAAGGATGATACAAATATAATGTTTATTATGTTGGATTTTGTCAAGACAAACCCTCGCAAGACGAAAAAATCAAAATTGTATAATTCCAAAGATTTATTAAAACCATGCGTTTATAAAAAACGTTAATAAATATATCTATTTTAATGAAATACATATCTTACATTCTCTTATTTAAAAGTCTTGTTCGGTTTTGAAAATACAACTGGTTATGAAATAAAAGATGAATAAATTTTATTCGCTTTTCGATGAAAATTAGTACTAAAAATTAACCGGCCATCAATTATCCGTTTTAATTGCCCCAATATAGTATAAGCTACAAACATCTATGAAAGCGCTATCAAACTATAAAAAATATCATCATTAAAATAACGTATATTATCAGTGTATGTGCAAAGTTAGCATCTTTGTGTGGATAAAACTTTGTGTGATACTAACAAAGCAACATAATAACTTATATCTTAACACACCCCTCGACATGGCAATAACCTTTTCACATGATAGGTTGGTAGGGTGAACTGCATAACTGCATCACAGATTATAGCATAAACACCCTCTAATACATGTAAGTATTTACTGGCAAGCGAGCTGAATAGTGACTTAGACATAAGCAACAAATTAGTGAAGTAAAAAATAACCTGTTTATTCAGCATTCGCTCTATGAATGGATCACACAATATCGTCATATAATAAAAAATCCTCCAGTCTGAAATGTTTATAAAAATCTTTAACTAATCTGTTGTAGAATTCGAAAAATTCTTTAATTGACGCGAACACGTGATTTCAAGCACGATTACAGAAATTTTACTGCGCTCACAAACACGTGCCGGCAATTAGAATATTCAAAGATTTTCTCAGCGAATATCAAGAATAGAAAACTCCGAAATTTGATTATAGGATGATTAACATATATTAAGGAAAATCGAAGTAGTAAAAGCACCTTCATTATGCCTTATTTTTGTTTATGGATTTTTCCTCGTTCGATTGATAAATTTATTGATTAGTAGTTTCGTTTGATTTTTTGTTTTACTTGTGCAAAGTGGATAAAAGGGATCGACAGGTGATACTTACCTCCTTTTTATACGATTTGTAACTGTTCAAGAATTGAATTTTTCATCACGTAGCATCATGGAAATCCGGCCAATTGATATTCCTGCTTTGCCTGAAAAAAAAACAATCATTAGTATTAGTTGAGGAGATTATTGATCCCTTTTACTTATGTTAAGAAATATACTATGGCTATGATGCGTTCTAGAACAGTACTTCAAAGCTAGAGAAACAAACACTATGATACCAATCCTTGAACCCGGACCTATTTTCAGAGGAAGGCATTCTGTAGTTAAATTTGTTGGAAATCAAAAAACTATTCGTTTAAACAGTACAATCATTTGTGATATAAAGTAATTAATAATTTTCATTTTGTCAAAGAATTAGCCATTTTATTATCTCAAACTGCAAATTAACTATTATGCAGCTAAATCACATGAATAATAAATTACATTAATTTCAAAATAACCTAGGTCACATCATACGTGAGATAAATAGTTCAATATTTATGAATACATTGACATTAATTTTGGGGTTTCGTGATTCTCATAATTATCACTAAAGGCTGATATGTACTGTTGTATAATACTTTTTTTCATCCATACGAACAGATTTTTCAAGCATCTTTAATCCCCACCTAACTTCATACGACTTAATTCATCATCTGACATTTCTGGTATTATATCTAACATTCTCTCGTCACAAAATTTAACTTCTTCCATGAACTTTGCCTTTTTAGAAAATGGTCCTTCTTCAATATTGATATCTTATCCTAAATTTCTAACTCTTTTTTTACATACAAATGTTTCATAAAATTCGTCTCCCTCTTCATACACAAATCGCTTGATTAAACCTAATGCCATCAATTACTGCTTTTGCAATATAATTAATATTTATCATTAGGTTTGGTCATAAAGAAAAAAATCCACTTGTCATTGCAATCTGTTAACACAACCATTACGCGTAATGCACTTGCATCATTTGCAATAAATAATTCTCCTTTAGCTTGAGATTCATTTAATACTTGGTTTGGTTTTTTTGTTTTTAAATAGACACATCCTGTTCGACTTGGGCCAATCGAAATATCAAATCCACCCCGTAATACAGTACGAGCTTTTTCTAATGTTGTTTCTTTCTTTGTAGATGTGTGAACATCTAAGACCTTGTAATCTTCACCTAAGTTTAATTTATTGTCAAGCCATCCTGCATTTGTTTGTCTTCATCTTTATCCATATCCCAATTGAACCCATCGCATTCTATGGTGGTTAAAGGACCTGGGAAATCTTCAACCCTAAGCTTTATATATAAAAAAAGGATGAGAGTGAATATATGGGGAAAGCGCTTTAGTAGCAATTATCATACATACTTCCACATCATAATTTCTCAATTTTGTTAATCTTGGTACCACTCAGCTTTGATACACTTATTACATCATATTGTTTGTCTGCCAGTGCATCACTTACAGCATTCTTTACGATCTCCTGCAAACTCCTATGATTTATAAAAAAAAAAGACATAAGATTAAGTAAAATACTATATAACTGATACTCTAGCATCAGAATAGAACCTTAACTTGCGTTTGATACGTTTGATACGTTTATCTGCAATTGCTTCATATTTAATAAGGAATATAAGAAGTGAAAAACAAGACACAATATTTCGCAAGTTATAAATTGTTATAAAAGCAAGTTATAAAATTTTTATGATACCAAACAATTAATCATTCCCGCTGTGACAATTATTTACACTTCTACTAAGTTTTTATCGCGAAAATCCATATAATCAATGGAGTATTATTTGCTTTTTGCTTACCTTGATTTTCGCCAGAGATTTCTTTAGCCAAAGTCTGCAATTCTTGTGAGGCAAACTATCTTGAATGCTATCGGCGATCATTTTGTCAATCATTTCCTAATATGGATAGCCTAAATTTAACGAAAATTTTTATTTTTGAATATAACAAAATAAACTTCTAAAATCGCATCTTTAATGTATTTTTGCCAGCTCTACAAGTTTGATTAGAATTCTAAAGAAGATTTTCAATGCCATTTTTTAGAAAATTAATTGTTTAAAATAACATGAAAAGTTAAAAATAGCTTTTAAAATCTTTTTTGTTCTAAGTGAACTTGCAGAGCAGGCAAAAATATGTAATTTTGAGTTATATAAAATTTGTGTCAGGCTAAAGTTATATTTTATGTACATGTGATTTGGTTATAGGTGGCGTAGTGTCCGATCAAATCGTATTAATTCCGGTTCTAATTAATTAATTTTGTCATTTTAAATTACAAAATAACTTTAACTTTTCGAATTACCCTGCTTCTAACATCTAGCATAAATTAGTTTGAAGTCAAATAGGATAGGAGGTTAGTGTGTTAATTAAGTCGTGGTAGATCTCCATATCTTGACAATATGGGTGATCGGCTATGTGATATGTATCACCATTCTGTTCTTTTTTTTTAACAAAATTTTATTTTTACAAATATATCAATGTCTGATAGTAACGATAAAGGTAAAAGTATAATAAAAAAACTTAAAAATATTTTCATCAAACAAAAAAAAGGAATTTAGGATAAGGTTCATCGATTGATGATTTTCTAAACAATTTTTCCTAAATTCACAGAGCCAGTTTCGGATACTAAGGAAACATCCTCTTTAGAAAAAATCGAAGGTACTTCCTAATGATATAATAATTCGTTAATGTTATTTACTAAAAATTAAATAATTATATACTGTAATTCGTTAACTATATTAATTATATTTTTATTTACAAATTCATCAAATATTATAATCTCTTAATTTTATTCAAAATATTCGAAGTATTATTAGATGGTAAGAATATTTATAATATTATTTTAATACTAGTTGTTTGGAGTAAAACTATGTTGAAGAAGATTAGTGATAAAACCCTAATCACATGATTATTTTTGTTTATCCACCGCATTGGATATTTGGATAGATCAATAATTTCATAAAAATTTCCGTTTTCTAGTTAATGTTATAATTATAATCCTAGTAATTAATTTCAAATTTTTTTTCGAAACAAATGCATTATGATAGAGCCAGTTTCGGATGCTCCTGATGCACCTACATTAAAAGAATTAAATGGTAATGAATATTTATCTATCTATTTGTCAAGTCAAAAAATATTTTAATTATTTATTCCTTTTTTAAAAAATTTAATAATCATTGAAACTTAGATTGTAAGCCATTTAATTTTTTATCTTATGCAATTAAAATTTTTTTAATTAATATTATCTAATCAAATAATACCATAGGGAGTAAAAGAATTTTTAATTTTTCATATAAAAGATTAAACATAACTAATTTTTTTTAAAAATTTTAATTGGATTTTAGTTGGTAAGTTATTATTTATTATATACTTATAAAAATTTAAACATTACTTAATTTTATTTAAAAATATTATAGATCGTAAGTTTTATTTATTTTAATAAATTAACTATAATTTTATTTAATTTTAAATAATAATATTAATTATTATAAATTACAGAAAGTAATTTTTATATACTTTATATTATAATGTAATTTAAATTCAGCTATATTTTTTATTTAAAAAACAATTAATCTTTAAATAGTAAGTTACTTTTATTGATTATCAGTATTTAATTCTACTTTTTACTGTAATTTAAACTCAACTATATTTTTTATTTAAATTTAAAAAAATAATTAATAATTAATAATATAATAGCTAGTAAGTTATTTTTATTGATTATCAGTATTTAATCCTACTTTTTACTGTAATTTAAACTTAACTATATTTTTTATTTAAAAAAATAATTAATAATTAATAATATAATAGCTGGTAAGTTATTTTTTTTGATTATTAGTATTTAATTCTACTATTTACTGTAATTTAAACTCAACTATATATTTTATTTAAAAAATCAATTAATCTTTTAGCTTGTAAGTTATTTTTATTGATTATCGGTATTTAATTTTACTTTTTACTATAATTTAAATTCAACTATATTTATTATTTAAAATACTACTAAAGGAGGTAAATTATTTTTATTGATTATCAGTATTTAATGTAATATAATTTTAATATTTAAAAAAATTATATAAAATTATTAAATATATTAAATCTATTAAATTTAGTAAGTAATCTATTTCATTTAAAATTATAATAAAAATTATTATAATAATGCTAATTATTTTATTATAAACTAAATATAGAATAAAAGGTAATTGCTTAAATTGTAATAAAAAACTTACTGGATATAAATGGTGTAAAAAATGTAATTTTAAATTATTTTAACATCATTTTTCTAATTGGACTAGTAAAAATAAATTTATTAATAAATTTATTCAAGATATTCAACTGAATGCTTTAAATAAAAAACAAATATTAGAATGAATTCCTTATAATAAATTAGAAAATATTAAATATCTTGATAAAGGAGGATTTAGTACTATTTATAAAGTTATATAGCTAGATAGATATATTGTATATTATTCATATAATAATAAAAATTGGATTAGAAGTAATAAAATAGAAGTATCTCTTAAAAGTCTTAATAAATCTTCAAATTTAAATGAAAAATTTTTAGATGAGGTATGTAATTATTAATTATATTTAATTTTAAATAATAAATTTTAAATAAATTTTAATTATTTTAGTAGAAATATCATTATAAATATTATAGTTAATTAAATAATTATTCAAATGAATATCTTATTCAATTATATAGATTTACTCAAGATCCAATTACATTAAATTATATGATAGTAATGAAATATGCAAAAAATGGTAATTTAAGAAAGAATTTATTAGATATAATTAAGAATAGATGGATTATTAAATTAAAAAAGTTACATAATATTATTAGTGAACTTGATGAAATACATCAAAAAAAACTTATACATTGTGATTTTCATCATGGAAATATTTTAAATTTGAGAGCTAATATTTTATCTATTAGTGATCTAGGATTATGTAAACCTGTAGAATATTTTCAATCATTTAAAAATAATAATATTTATGGTATTTTACCATTTGTAACACCTGAAATTTTAAGAGGTCAACTTTATACTTTAGCTAGTGATATATATAGTTTTTCTATGATTATGTGGGAATTTATATCTGGAATTTCTACATTTGATAATGAAGCTCATGATTTTTAACTTAGTTTAGTTATTTGTAAAGGTAAACATCCTAAAATTATTAAAAATATTTCATAATGTTATATAAATTTAATGAAAAAATGTTGGGATATGAATTCATTAAAAAGACCAACTGCATTAAAAATTAAAAAATTTATAGAAAATTGGTATAAAAATATTATTATTGAAAATTTTGATAAAAATTTAATAGATAACATTATAGAGTTTTATAAATCAGATAAAATATTAAATCAAGAACAACATAATAATAATGATAAAGTTTCTATAGAATCTCATTCACAAGCATATCATACAAGTCGTTTACTTAATTTTACTGAAAAATTAAATGTAATATTAAATCAAAATAATATTTTAAATGAAGAAAATAGTCAAAGTATTGATAATAACTTTTAAAAATATAAATAAAATTTTTTAAATAATTAATTTAATATACTTATATATTTTATTAATTTATAGATAATTTAATTATTACAGATAACATATAATTATTTATTTTATTTAAGCAATTTTTGATATTTTGAAAGAAAATTAAATATTTATTGTATTTAAATTTTACATATATTAAAATTTATTTGTAATCAAATTTATAAATATTTATTTAATGAACACTACTATATATAGATTTTTTATAACAAAGAAGTTTGTAATCATTAAATAAACTAGTTATTTTTTATTATATTATCCTTAAATTGTAGGATTTTGCAAGCAAATTTGCTTGCTTATTTACTATAAATTTTCTTCTGATTTACTTTTATAAATAAATAATATTTTTAAAAAAAAAATTTGTTGAAATTAATTTATAAATATATAATACATTATAACAAGTTTTATCTTTTAATTATATAATAAAAAATTTAATATTACTTAGAAGCTAAAATTTGTAATTTTTAAAAATATTTATATTAAAAAATTTTATGATTAATTTATGATAAACTTTTTAGAATTTACTTTTAGCTATATAGGAGATTTTTTTTGAAAAATAGGATCATAGCATTTTTTATTAAAATTTTAATTTTATTGCATTTTAATCTAACATTATCAAAAAATAAAATGTATTAAAAAATTAAAATTTTAATTAAAAGTTCTCAAAACCCTATTTTATTAGCAAAACCTTTTATATTAATTATAATTGAATATTATAAAATTACTTATAAAGAAATACTTATATTATAATTTTTATAATTTATTCCCCGTAAAAAATGTCACTCTGAAATGCTTCCATAATATCTTCGTAATTATGTATTTGAATCCATAATGTTAAGTGTATTTTAATAGTCATGAAAACTAGATGAATATGCAATCCAGATTTTTCCTATGTTTTTCATTAATTTTCCATGATTGCATTTTTGTGTCTATGAATGTTCAGTATATTTTATAACTGTGAAAACTTATTAATCAAGCAATCTGGATTTTTTCCATGTTTAATTACTAATATATAGATCAGTAAACAGAATAAATACGAAAAATATAAGTAAATTCTTTAACAAATTAAATTAACATTTTATAAATAACAAAAATATAACTGCAAGTGATATATAGCATATAAATATAATAAACTCTTGATATAACAAATTCTAGGATCTGAATATCAACTTCATTATAAGCTTATAATGAATTTTTTAAAGAATTTAATTGGCTAATTCACTATAGTAAGATAATTTTAATATATTTGATTTAAAAATTCGCTATATCAAGGGTTCACTATATCAAGGTTTGACTGTAAATAGTATTTTGAGAAAAATGAAATCAGTTTA